ACTGGTCATTTCTGGAATTATAGGTGGTTTTATTTCCTTTGGCCTCTTTAGTGGCATTATATATATATTTTTAATAAAGGGAGGAAAAAGAAGAAACCAAATCCGGGAGAGTGCGTAGGATAAATGACAGATGGAAACGTTTTACTTTAGACCTTCAACTAACCCAAAGTAAAGAAGCTTCAACAGCGCGTTGGTTTCCGGCGAAGTCCACAATATGTGCTGTGTCAGAAAACAGCCATGGAGTGCCAGCAACACAGTGACAAACAAACAAGGCTTCAGTGTTTATCAGTCGACCGCCCTCCCCCACCTCGTCCATTTTGATTTACAAAATGCAGGGACTATTCTGATCGAAGTTACAAGCAGAGCCAACCTCACTCACCGACTGCATTTTGCAAAACATAACTGTGTTTCGTTCATTATCACAGAGACCCTATTCGGCCTGTTATGAGTGATTTCTAACTTGGTCGGTTCTATCTTACTGACATCAGGTACTATTTAGAAGGACGGGGGAAGAAAACTGTTTTCAAAATGCCTACTATATATCCGGCGCATTTAAGGCAATATTGACCGTGATTTTTACTTAACCCCAACATGTACCCATGAGGGTAGAGGCGTGGCCTCCACTGTCAGAGGCACGAGAGGCCTGTTACCAGCCTGAGGCTGCCCAGCAGGTGGGTGGCTAAACAGGGTCAGAATGCCTATGTGTCCGACCCCCAAGAACCATGTTCTGATCCTCTACAACCCTCCCCTGCTCTTGGCCCCACGACGTCCTGGTAGCTCACTAATTATCCAACTGGAAACATAGATTTCTGGAAGGCTTCTTTGAAATAAAATTGATCAGCTGCCAAATCACTCACTTACAAAATTGCTAGCGCTCAGCCCTGACCTCCTCATTGAGGACGAAGCCCCTGCCTCCCCCGAGCACACACACTGTGCTGGAAACATCATGTGGAGGGGGAAGGAAGGCAGGGGAGTGAGGGAAGCAAGCCTTTCTCTCTGGCCTGACTCCACCCATCAAGGGCTCCCCTGGCCCCAGCCCTGCAGCTGGTGCCATTACTGCTTCCACCCCAGCTAATTATAGTCACTGATTACCTAACAGCAAGCGCTACTGTCACCTGCTTTGGCCTGACGGATTATGCCATCTGGGCCACGTGGCCAGGGTCCGAGAGCCACCAGAGGTCACAGAGAGGGGCAAATGGCTCTGAATGGGAAGAAATGTGTTTACAGCCCTAACAGCTGACTGGGCCATTAAAGGGGCTTTAGCTGTGTGTTCCCAGCTGAAACCCCTCTCCAGGGGCCTCGCTATTAGCTAATGGGATGTGGCTGCATATATCGCTCTGGTTCCAAATGTGGGCATGCTAGGGGACTGGCTGCACGCTCTCCTAAAAAGGAAAAGGAAACGGACTTAGGAGAGACCTGGGGGCTCACAGTTGTTTGGGGTCCTTGTTGAACGGGCGTCAGAACATGCCTGCAGAGGCAATGCTCCATGACCGGCAGGGTTCAAATACGTTTTCCACTTCCTGTGCTCATGAAATTAACACATGTATAAAACACATTTTATGACATTAAATAAACCTTGTAAGGCAACTTCCATTTCATTAAGAGCTTCATGTCCTTCGCAGCGGTGCCTGTATCTCAAACTTGAATGTGCTTGTGTATGACCTGGGAATCTCATCACCTTGCAGATTCTGAATCTGTGAATTGGGGTCAGGGGGAGGGGAGAGGGAGAGTTCAGATTCTGTATTTCTAAAGAGTGTCTGGAAGATTACTGATGCCACTGGTCTGTGGATGATGCTTTGAGTAGCAAGAAACTAGTTAGTTACTGAATGAAATTAAATTACCGAAGTAACAGTACACCGAAAACCTATAAAATGGTATTTCTCCAACTGTATTACAGACCACGAGTCAGCTAAGGAGGCTGCCTCAGCTCCAACAGGTTCTCAGTGGAGTAAATTCAGGAATCACCACATACTCTGCATACCCCTGGGAATGCCCAATACATCATTAGCATATTGGAGCTGAGGAAGCCTGCAGTGATCTGTTCCACTTTAGATGTGAACAGTTTGCATTCAACTAAAAGTTTGGTGCTTTATGCCCTAGTTTTTGTTGCAACCCTCACTGAAGAGTCTCTATTATCCTGATTGCTTAACCTGTCCATAACTGTCGTGATTTGAAAAATGCCTTCTCAGCATACAGAGTTATTCACATGAAACACACAAGCAAGAAAGGCTTGAAGACTGAGAAGCACTGATTGTATGAGGTACTGTCATGAAATGCAGGCACTGTGGTGGTTTCTTCTGACACCTTTTGAGCCCAGTGACCACAGCTCGCCTGGCTTCCCCCCCTTCCAGTGTGATAAAAAGTAGAAATGGATGAGGAAATATTGAAGAAGTGCCCAGGAGGTGGGACCATGATGACTGCACAGGGGTATAGATCTGGAGGCCTGATAACAGAGGCCAGTACGACTACTACAAAAATAGAGCTTCAAGACTGATTTGCTTAAAATTTTCCTTTAAAAAAAAAAAAGCAGTTTACCAAACCCTTTCTAAACACATTTTTATTTAACATCATAAAATGCTCACTGTAGAATATAAATAAAAACTAAAAGGCATCAAAGTGGAAGACACAATGTAACCACAACTTGTGTGTGTGTGTGTGTGTGTGTGTGCGTGTGTGCGCGCGCGAATGTATATGTACGGGTGTGTGTGTGTATACACATGTGTGAGTATGTGTGTGTAGGTAACTGTACACATGATTTTGAAGAAGGAGAGAGAATCATCAAGAATGTTTGCTTTGGAATCAAGCAACATTAGGCTCAAACTGCAACTGATCCAAGTTTCTTAACCTTTGGTTTGTATCTTCTGTGAGATGAGGCTGACAATTACCACCTCAGGCTTATGTGAGAATTAAATAAGATAATGTCTGGCAAGCACTTAGCACATGGCCTGGCTCAAATTTAAACACTCACCAAATGGGAACCATGATTGTATTAATATAGAAAGAGGGTGGCAGAAAATACACAAAATGTTAATAGTGGTTCATCTCTGGGTGATGAGTTAGAAGTGAATTTTATTTTCTTCTTTGTACATTCAGAATTATTCAAAATGATTCAAAGAACACCATTATAATTAAAAAAAGATTATTAAACAAACCTTATAAAGTAAAATTCTAATTGTAGTTTTCTCTGGTTGATAAATGTGGGTCATTTTTATTTCCTTCCTTATACTTTTGATTTCTGAAAGTGTCCACAACTCACTAGTTTTAACAGATATTGAATACAAAAGCCATGCCCATCTCTTTTGGACATTTTGGGAAAATACAAAAAACTCTGAAAAGAAAGCAAAATCACTTGTAGTGTGATTTCTCTGTTTTTATTACTCTTTGTTTAAATGTATAAAGTAGATATTCACACCTAAATGAATGGTCCCCTAGAATTGTGCAGTGCACAACATGGACAACCATATTCATGGTCCTTGAAATAGCACCCCCCCCCATACATTTCTCAACCCACTCCCTGGAAGTCACTGATATGAATTCTTCCAGTATATGTATAACACCCATATATATATAGGTGTACACACTCATACACACACATATATGTGTGTGTGCATACATGCTCATATAATTAGGTAAAAATATATCTATAAGAAAATTCAAGAAAGATTTTAGAGGCCATTTAAATATAATAGATCTCATTAGTCCCCCAAGATCAAGTCGAGGAGGGAAGCACCTTCCCCACATTTTCCAAGTGTAAACTCACTTAAGCAGATATGCTTTAAGCATCTCTGCTATTCCAGGACCTAAGCTATTTACTAAGGAAACAAAAATGAGGAAGACACAAGCTCTCTGGCCTCAGCGAGCCTCTAGGCTATCATGAAAATGCACATACAGTAGTCCCATCTTACTGGAAGTTTCAGTGACCTGCAGTCAACTGCTATCAGATAGCAGATGATCCTCCTGACATCATTAACGTAAGAAGGTCGGGAGCAGCCACGTCATAGGGCCTGCAAAATTCACCCCCCTTCATCTCATCACGCATGGAATTTTATCATCTCACATCATCACTAGAAGAAGGGTGAGAACAGTAAGATATTTGGAAATGGAGACCACATTCACCTAACTTTTATTACAGTATATCATTATAACTGTTGTATTTGATTGTTGGTTATTGTGGTTAGTCTCTTACTGCACCTCATTTGTAAATTAAACTATCATAGGTCTGTATGCACAGGACAAAACACGGTATATGTAAGGTTTAGGGCTACCCATGGTTTCAGGCATCCACTGGGAGTCTTGGAATGCATCCCCACTGGATATGGGGGACTCCTGAATTAGATATGTGTTCTCCGTCATGTAGCAAATATAATAATGGAAGCCAATAAGAGGTCCAGGGGCAGTAAGGAAGAAATAGTGAACCCCTTCTTCTGCAGTGACTCTGGAAGCCCTCCTGGGGAAGAATGCATCTCACCTGTATCTAAAAGTCTACAGACTTGGGTTCCTTGCACACCCACACAATCTCACGCTCCCCACCTTTCATCATGTCCAGGCAAGTGTCTGGTCTTGGGCTGGAATATGTTCCCACGCTTCTACTCCTAGGTCAACCCTACTCATCTTTCAAAACTTAACCAGGAGGAACCTCCTGGAAGGCATCCCTAAGTACCCAGCATGGGGAAGGCCCCCCTTTTCACTGCACGTGTGTCTTTATCAGACACTTACCTAAATGACTCACGAGACTGGAAGTCAGCATTTTGCCCTATTTATCTTTGAGCGTTGGGGAAGGACTGAACGCCACACCCAGTACACAGCACCCAATAAATGTCTTCTAAAAAAAACCAACAACAGCACTAGGGTATAGTGCTACATCAGGCCCATAACACAGATGGCTTTTGATAGCATAAAGAGCACACATATGGGAAGAAGAAAAGCGTTCCTCTGACCTGCATAATTAGAAAAGAGGCTTCCTCTGGGAACACGCAGTTCTGCAGGCTGCAGCTTAGCACACAGACAGGACCTTTGTGCTCCTTAAGAACGAAGTCCTCCAGGCTCAAGCAGCTCTGAACAAGCAGAGCAGAGGCAGGAATCCAGCGCCGACCCATTCAGCAGGGTGGCCTTGGTTGGGCCTGAGAGGTGCTGACCAGGAGAGCCCTGCGGACACATGGATGAAGAAGATACATTTCCTCCCAAGGAGCCGACAGTCTGTGCAATTCAACAATCAAGTAAACCTGCATAGTGAGTGGCTGCTTATAAAACGTTGAATAAATAAGTGAATGAATGCATGTTTAAAAAAAATGATGAATTTTCTGAGACTGATTCTGATTGTATTCGGTTAGGTCCTACTATGCATTTGCTCTAAGGTCCACTTGGGTCAAGTCCTCCTACAGGGGGATCTAATTCCTTTTCTTCCTGGCTAAAGGCTATGGAACCTCTGACTTGTTTTGAACAGATGGAATGTTCTGGTGCAAAGGACCTGAAGAGCAGATCAGCATAGAGAGGGCTCTGTAAGGTGTCATTATGTAAACCGACTCACTGCCCCAGGTGGCCAGGTTACTCAGCAGATGCCCTTTGTCTCCCGCTTGCTTTCTTTCATAAGGCCTTTATTATACATGCACACCATTTAAACTTGGGCAGAAGGGGTGACTAGTGGCAGGCTCTCACCCTAGTGTTACCCAAAGCCTGCGCAATTGGTAGGCGCTCCAAATGTCCTGGAAAAGTATTTCCATGCTACTAAAACTCTTGTTTGATTGAGGGGTTAGATGAGCCAGTCGTCAGGTGTGACAAATTTGGAAAAAGCCCGGTAAGCTGCAAGAGCTGTCTGAGACTAGCCCACCAGCAGGGCAGGGCCTGGTCTGAGGCCTAGGGCTCTCGACCCCAACAGAGAGCTCTTTAAGTGCCACACACAGGCCCCTGGCCACCCAGGGTGTGACCGAAAAGTGCCTCTGAGGTCCCCAGACATCGGTATCAGCAGAATCAGTAATGTCATGAAAATGTAAATTATAGCCCAGGTGGCTTTAAATACCCACGGGACCAGGCCTTTGCTTTGCAATTACAGAGCCCCGGCTCTTGTCAGAATTGTTGCAAAAGCATCCTCACTGGGTGTTCCAGACATGCTCCTTCCCCCTGTTCACCTGCCCTGAATTATGTATTGTTTCCCCCCAAAAAACAACGCGGATCAGCCCAGCTCTTTGCTGGAAGGTGATCAGTATCTCTCAGACGGTACACCAAATGCAGCCCCAGCTTCTCAGCCCAGCTTTGGGGAGCCTTTTGAAACTGCCCTGTCCCCACATTCCTGGCCCGTTCCACATTTCCCCAACCTGCCTCTCCCCAGATTCTCTGCTTTGGCCAGAGGGACCCCTTCTCTGCTCTACCCTCAATATACCTGGGGCCTTCCCCTCTGCAAGCTCTACTCTGGTGAGGCTCAGAACAGCCTCTCTCACTCTCTCCACTCCTCAAGTCTTCTTTATCCTCTGAAATGTAACAATAAATCCTTCTTGGAGCCTTGCAATTCAAAGTTCTATGCTGTTTCTGACTTCTTAAAGCACGCTTGAAATCTCCTCGGGTGGGACACTTAGCAGATCTCTCATAGACAGTTGCTTATCTCTCTGGACACAGTCACGTCTCAGCTAGAAGTAAGTTATTTCCACCTGAGAATCACATCTTTGACAGAACATGGTGGGCAAAATCTCAGGCCCCGGAGTCAAAGGCCTGCTTCTAACCCTTTAACTGCCTTTAACTGTCTGGCCAGGAACTAATTTCCTTTCCTTTCCAGATGTCAGGTTTCTCGTCTGTAAAGGGGGATAATACTATCACTTGGGGTTGCTATACGGTCAATTAAGAATCCAGGGCTCTAGGGTGGCTCAGTCTGTTAATCCATCAACTCTTGATTTCAGCTCAGGTCATGATCTCATTGGTTTGTGTGTTCAAGTCCCACATCGGGGTCTGAGCTGACAGTCCAGAGCCTGCTTTGGAGTCTGTCTCCCTCTCTCTTTCTCTCTGCTCCTCCCCATTCATCCTCTCTCAAAACAAATAAATAAACTTAAAAAAAGAATGCAGATTGAGTAAGAGAAAGTAATGGCATAGCAAATGCTCAATAAATAGCAGTTATTCTTATCATGTGAGAGGGTGGGATGTATTCAGGGAATTACTGTGGCTCGCTGGCTGGTGCAGCTTCCTCTATGGGGGGGGGAGAATGGGTGAGGATGTGGTTGGAGAGTTAAGCCAGGTTCAGGCAATGAAAGGCCCCCTATGCCTCACAAAGGAGTTTGGACTTCTTCAGAGGACAAGAGTGCTCAGGGAATGGTTTTAAGCAGGGGAAGGACTGATTTGATTTACATCTTAAAGGGTTCCTTGGCTCCCGTGGGGAGGATGGTGCAGAGATGAGGTCAAGTCAGAAAAATACATTAGAAGGCCAATAAAGTCATGCTGCTGAGACGAATGAATCGCAGTCCCTGACTTCTGGGAGCCTGTGGTCTACTGAGGGGAGACAGAGAGATAACTAGGGCAGTAAATGGAAAACGATGGGGAAAGGCATGTGGACCACTTGGAAGCAAGGAGAGAGAATCGGCATCTGCACCTAACAGGAAGAGCCACTCCAGGAAGGTTTTAGGGAGAACATGACCTGTGGGGGCCCCATCTTTCCTGAAGGATCCCTTATGCTCTCTTTGGGTTGACCTGGATATAAATGCTACTGGATATAAATTCTACTATGGTCCGTTGTTCCCAGGACAGGACCCCCCAACGTGTATAATGGATGAGAACAGGAGATGGTGAAGATCCCTTCCAAGAATAAGATTCAAAGACTAAAAATCTCTAAATTTCATGTTCATCCTAATGCTTTGAACTTTTAGTTTCCCCTTTGTGCTGTCATGTCAGTATTTTGCATTTTGGAGGGGAATTATTTGAGAGGGACAATCAATGCTTTTCTGTTTTATCTACCTATCGGTCGACCTATCTATTTTTTTAAAGATTCCCGGAGGAAAAAAAATTAGAGGAAAACAGGAGCTCTGAAATGAACTAGAATTTAATGTCATTCCATTAACATTTCAGAAAATGCCAGCAGAAGCTTGAGGAGATAATTACATACAAGGGAAGCAAATTGGGTGTGTATGCCACAGGTCTACTAGAAAGTGTTTCAAAGTGGATCGTGTCACCAAAAACTATTTGTTCTCAACAAGTTTGAACTAAAATAATATTTACATTTGGACGAATGGTTTCTAATTGGGTTATCCATTAGCGATGGGAGAAAATGAGAAAATGAAACCTAATTTGCAAGCCTCAGACAGGAAGGCAGTGATTAGTTGTGGAAGATGAGCAAAGGCACAGTTCCTGAGCCCTATCTGCCTTCAGCTGTGCCAGAAATGGGTGGTGTAGCCAGGGATGAAGCCAGCAGTGCCCAGAGTGCCAATGAAAACTCACTCTTTCATAGAACTTTACAAAGCTCTTTCCCACACATGATCTTCTTTGATCTCACCACCGCCCTGAGAATAGATGGGGCAAGTGCTGTTGTTTGTCCTCATTTACAGCTGAGACCAGGAAGATTCAGGTGACTCACCCAAGGTCACAGAATCAGGGAAGGAAGGGGCCACAATTCAGGCAAGCTCTTCTGACCCTCAATCCCATGTTCTGGCCACCCTGCCTCTCAAAAACCTTCTAAGAGTGACAGCTCAGAGTAAGACCCATGACAATGAGGTATACATGTGGCCAATATACTAATGGGTATAAATCAATTGCACAGTAATGCCCTGACCCACGGCTGCTGAGATGGTGGAGACAGGGCTACCCCTGGTGAGGCCCAGCAGGGCAGCTCTTCTCAGCTCAGACTCAAATCTTCCAGAGCTGAACGTGCTCCTTTAGGCAGGGAGACCCAGAGAAATGACTATAATGAGTAGAACCCTGCATGAGACCGACTGGAAGCAGAGTCACCAGGAGAGTTTAACTGATGAAGGCTTGGTAGAGAAGTATAATTCTTGGAAGAAGTACATAAAACAACACTTGGTTAGCATTAAAGGATGCAAAGCGAGAAGCAGCCACCCCACTCAGGTTAGGAAACATGTGAGGTCAGGGTGAGACACACAGACCAGAGACAAAGCTTTTCCCACTGCCCTAGTGACAAGGGCGTCCACTGGTCCATCTGAGGAGAAAACTAGAAATGGCATCAGACCCACCAACACTTTCAAGGCTTCCTCAAAGGACCTGGGGATAAAATGTAAATTTCCTAAGAGGATTCAAAACACCCCATGAGGTCCCACCCTTGCTTACCTCTCTAGCCGCATCTCTCATCACACTCCACCCCCATGTATATACCCACAAGCAGCCCACACAGTCACTCTAGCTATCCAAACACTTACTCTTTCTCTTTCTTTGCCACAGCATGCTCTCTCTTGCTTCTAGACTTTGATCCAGGCTGTTCTTTGTATCAGCTTCATTTCCTCCTTCCTATCCCAACTGCTTAGCTCCTACTCATTGTTTGGGTGTCAGCCTACAGGTCACTTCTCTCCATCACCTCTACCATTGTGAGGCCAAGTTTGCCTGCCATGCTCGCCCATATCAGTCTGTACTTCCTGAACCCTCCCTGTAACTGCTCTATTCATATTCCAACCTCACTACCCAGCAATTATTTGATAGAAGCAGGAATTGCTTGCATGCTCACTATGGTAACCCCAAGCCAAGCACATTTGTCGAATGATGGGATAGATTAATCCTTTAATTAATTTAGCTGGTGGTAAAATCTAGTAAACAAAAAGCATTTCTCCTTTACAGATGGTAAGGATAGCTGCTCTCAGCTCTACAAAGATCCAGCTGGACAACCCCACCATGTCATGTTACATAAGCACCTGAACAGACCATTAGAGTCAAGATTCTGCTGAAAACGTGAGCAAGAGAGATGTTTACACAATTCTGACTTAAGAAGGCTTATTTCTGTCTGGGTGTGATCCAAGTTACTGAGGGCTTTAAATAATTGGGAAAGACATTATCTTTGGAAACTAAAATCCAACCCCTGTCCCCTGGTTCCTGCCAAATATCTCCCATAACCCACATTAAGTGGATTACTCTGTCCTTAATCACATACTAAATGCCTGCATCTGTGGTTGGCATCAGTGGTTATGAAGCAGCTGCAATCACCACATATATGTCCTGTTATTACAGCAGGAGAAATATTGGGTAAGGAGCTCCAAGTGGTGAATGAGACTAAGATCTTCCTCCCCACATCCCTCCCTTCCTTCCTCTCTTCCTTCCCTCCCTCCTTCCTTACCTCCCTCCCTCCCTCCTTCCTTCCTCCCTCCCTCCCTCCCTTCCTTCCTTCCTTCCTTCCTTCCTTCCTTCCTTCCTTCCTTCCTTCCACTCTAGTTAAGGGTCAATTATTTTCTAGGTATTAAACAGAGATAAATAAGACACATTCCCTTCTTCAGAGGACTTCTCCAGAAAAAAGAAGGTGTTTGGAGAACAAAAACCCCCTTAAAACTGTTTACTCTTTGCTTCTTAAGCTTTAATATGTATTTAAAACCACCTCGGGATCATGTAGAAAGAGAAGATGGGTGGTGCCCAAGATTCTGCATTTCTAATAAGCTCCTGAGTGACACTATTGCTGCTGTTCTGGAGAGCACACTTTGGGGAGACAGCATCACAATATGATCTATACGGAGACAATCATTACATCCCCGTTACCTAATTTCATTCTTACAAAAATTCTGGGAATAGTTAGGGAAGGTACATTACGACCTTTTCACAAATCATTGAGTCTAGAATAAATAAGCTATTTTTTCCCAATGATATCACCTATAAGACCAGGATGTATTTATTCATACCCAAAACCTCAAATCACCAATGGTATCATTGCTCTACTTCTCACACCCTTAGCTGCTGGCCACAGCCATGATGCTCTTCTACCTCTGGACACAGACCTGGCATCCACCTGGTAGCCTCCTTGTCTCAAGATGGCATACTGGTAGCCATAGCCCTCTCCTCTGTGATTGGTCTTGGCTGACCTTCACTGGTTTGGTGACTCCCAGGACAATGGACAGAGGACCACAGGAAGCAGAGTAAGAAGGAATGTATGTATTTTCCAGGAAGCACCTAACACCTCTAGATCTCAGAAGGGTCTTTGATCACCTGTCATCTCCTCCACACTTCTACTGTTTCTCTACTCAAGTTACCTGCAGATGACAAGCCACTAAAGTGTTGATGAGCACCTACCATAAGTAGGACTCTGCACAGGTGTCTTTTCTGAATCATCTCATTCAATAGGTGTAGAGTGGGTTAAGGTCATCACTCATGCATGCATTCATTCAACACTAGTTGAGGGCCACCTATGTCCTAGGCATGGACTAGAGATAAATATAAATAAGACATATTCCTTCCTTTCAAAGGATACTCAGAGAAGGTGAGTGACACAGGAAACTTGCCCAGCTTGGAAGTCTACAGCAGGAGCAGGAAGCCACTATCTTCCCAGACTAAACTCATCATTTTTTCCATCCCAGTGAACTCGTGAGACCAGCAAACTTCATCATCTGAGGAACCTGTTAATAATGCTGAGATGATGATTCAGTAAGTCTGCAAGAGGCCCAATTATCCACATTCTCACAGTCACACCAAAGGATTCTGGTTCAAGCAAACTTCAGAGCACACTTTGAGGACAATAACTTCATACTGACTGTGGAAGTCAGACAGGGGCACTACCTGTCTAAAGGTCTCTCTGGGAATCTGCTTCATGCAGAGACAACACATCCCCTTACCTTGGAAAGACTGAGTTGGTTGGAAAGAGGAGCTCAGTTGTGGCATCCAACCAAATTTGGAAGCAATGTAATGAGTGTTACATCCAAGGCCAGGAATGCAGCCCTGCTAGGAGGCTGCACGGCTAGCAGGGTGTGTGTGGGTGGGGCAGCTTGTAAGTACCACCTCCACACTGCTCACATCACATCATGTTATTATGATTGATGTTTCTCCATGCCAGTGCCCTGCCATGTGATTATCGCTTTATAGTTCACAGCCCCACAATCTTAAGCAATGGTCACTTGGGGCCTTAGTTTGGCAGATGCCCTAGATAACCACTGAGCAGTGGGGGGAGGGGGGGTGTTAACCCTGGGCTCCTGGACTCTAGGGGTAATCAGCTGTAGCCACCAAGTTGGACACTTCAGATGAGCACAATGAGTCCCTGTTGACAGATGAGCTGAGCCCAGCTCAACAGACTGAAGACAACTGAGATGGTGAGAAGAACACTGGGCTAAGAGCTGACCTAACCATTAACTGATTGCAGGAGACTCAGCAAATCAGAACCCCGTTCTGGGTCACAATGTCCTTGTGAGTAAAATACTTTCAGCTCTGGTTTCCTGGAAGCCTTGATTTTGCTATAGGGAAAAGACACTTGCTCATCTCAACATGGTAAGTCGAAATCTACTCCTGACCCTCTTCTCATTACATCCTTCACTCCTAGAAGACCAGTCCACTCCCCAGAAAGCATCTGAGTCTCTCTAATCCCAAATATACAACTCCTTCTCTCTTTGCAGGGTTACTGGACCTATATCATAGAACCAAGAGGATCTGACTCAGGAAGGGAAATAAAATGGATATATCCCAACAGCTAGAGTCTGTAGCTTTTTAGCCTTTAGCTTGAGTCAGTACCACCACCTTCCAGACTCTGTAGTTTTTCTATTTTATTAAATTCTGGAAGATGGAGAGCCCCATAGGCCCTGGTAGAGTTGGATGCCTACTCCTGGCTCAGTCAGGTACAGCCAGGTGGGCAGGGTCACTAAACAGAAGCATGACCAGTTAGACTCCCCTGCCTGTGAAAGGTAATTCCCAGAGAAGGAGGAGGCCCTAACAGGGCTGGGTACAATGATACTTCCTGGGGGACCTGAGTCTTCTCAACTCATTTCCAATGTCTAGTGATGTTCTCTCCTTTCCTAGGCCCCCATGTCAAACACTGGGAGCTAGATTGCTGCAGGTTGCAAAACTCATAGCTGAACTGCACCAAGGGCACCAGACTCAATTCTCCACAATGCACCTACTAGCAGAATAATGTCATTCATTGTACCCCCGGAGGTCAGCCCTCACTTAGAGCTTATGAATTCTGGAGATGGGTACAACACTGGCTATGATCCACCCATCCCATTGCTCTGTTCCAGAAATCCTGTAGGGGAAGCTTTATGTAATGTTTATGATAGTGCAAAGGTCTGTTCTGGGTACTGGGGATAAAGATAAAGCCATACATACAAATCCCTACTTTCAAGACAGCCGTCAGAAGAGACACCAGGAAACAGGCAGCAACACAAGAAAACAGCACCATGTGCTTTCATACACCAAATACAGGAAGTTCAAGTTAGGAGAGACTCAGGTAAGTATTTCCAGGGAAGATGGTGCTTTCCTAAATTGTGTCTGAGAGGAGTAGAGGCTATCCAGAAGAAAGGGGGGCTGAGAGTATGAGGGAGGAGGAATAGGACATGAGAAGACTCAGAGGAATTCCGCAACTCAGCAAAGGAGGGCAAAATAATGTGTGAGGCAAGGAATCTAGTGAGGAAGAGGCTGGAGGGCTCAGCAGAGGCTAGACTGAGTTAGGCTGAGCCAACCAGCCTGAAATCTGCAAGGTGTGGAGAGGGGATGGGAATGAGAGTCAGAAGCCAGCAGGGAGGTGCCTGCATCATCCAGATGAGAGACGATAAAGATATGCTGCAAGGTACAATTTAAGCTAAGATCTAAGAGACAAGAAGGAACCAACCGCAGAAAGATCAGGAAGAAGAATATTCTAGCAAGAGAAACAATGTGAAGTCCCTGGGGAGGAAACATAAATAGCTTGTTGGAGGAATAGAAAGTGGGCTAGTGAGTGGCTGAAGACAGTGAGGGCAGTGAGGTCTGAGACACAGGCAGATGAAAGTCAACCCTATAAACTTGGGGAACGTGTCTGAATTTTCTTCACAAGGAAGAAGAATTTTAAACAAGCAACTCACATGGTCCTATTAATATTTATTTTTATAACTTCTTCTTATTGCGCAGACAGGGGCCTGAAGGGAGGCAAGCATCGAAGCAGAGAGAGCAGATGGGAGTCTACTTGCACACTCCAGGATAGAGTGAAGACAGCAGTCAAGGGGTAGATGGCCATGGGCAGACTAGTCCGAAGTTTTGGAAGAAGAGGCATTTCCTGAGGTGGAAAAAAACTGGCAAATTAATGAGGTTATCTGTGGGGGAGATGGAGGCATTCCAGAAACTCAATAGTTCCATTTTGAATGTGTTATGTTTGAGGTGCATTTTAGAGATCTAAGTGGAGCTGTCAAGTAGCAGATGGTTATAGAGGTTTCTCTTTGTGGCTAGAGACATACACCTGAGTGTCATTAGCATATACATGGCATTTGGACACATGGATGGGCCTGGACTAGATAAAGAAAGACAGAGAAGAAAAGGAGATCTCCAGCCAAATCTTGTGGCCTCTCACCATTTTAAGATAAAGAGGAGAAAATTGAGGAGCAATATCAGCTGTGAGATGGAAGGAAAGAGAAGATATAGTTTTAGGGAAGCCAGAGCAGGGTGGGAGTGCATCTTAAGAATGAAATGGTGGCCAAATCTGGCTACTTTTGCAGAGAGGGCAGGAAAAATGAGGACTGGAAAATTACTATTGGATTCACATCCTTAGCCCCTAGGACCATAACGACCACATAGTAGATACTTAATAAATAGGTGAATTAATTAACTGAAGAATCAAACCCAATGATAACAAGAACAGAACATTTTTTACCTCCAGGGTACAACTCTCACCCTCCTTCCTCTTTGACAGACATTAATAACCAATTACTTTTTCTTTTTCTTTAATCGAGACCCAGCCTTGGAATCTTTGTGCTCTAGGCATACCCTGTCAAGACATTGGAACTGTCAGGCAACTTGAAGCCTCTGTGCCCTTCCTGGCATTAACTGAAAAGTCAGGGCAGGACTTGCTTATTCAACAAGGGAGGAACCAGGGACTATCTGCAAAGGGCACTGCAGAGGGAATTCCTGCGTATACAAGGAAGAGCCAGGTGATCCCTAAGACCCTTTGAAGCATCCATGGTTCAGGTGACGGTTCTCCCTGCTCCAAGCATTCAGCCACCCAAGACATAAAGAGAAAAATCCAGCCCAGCCTGGGTTAATATGTGTGAACTAAACCTTTCTTAAAACTTCTCCTATGCATTTCTTTTCCCCTTATCTTTATTGGCCTCCTGAAATGCCTTATCTACAAAGGCATGATTCTGTTCTAAATCTCTGTCTATGAACACAATTACCATTTCTGCTTCTTCCACAAGGTAAAAATGAATCACGAGATGCAAGACATGAACTTAACTTATCCACCCAGCCATAGGCAGACTGGCTTCATCTCCAAATGATGCACTCCCCCACATAAAATAAAAGCAGACGGTTTTATTCTTCAGTCCAAAGCACTTAGCATTTCAGAGAGACATCTGCTGCAGACAAATCTTGGGTCTTTGGAGCTTTAATACTTTAAAATTTATTCCTCTTCACCACCTGGAGGCTCATGAGTCCATTTGTGGACTTTTCCACCTAATGCTGCCTTGCAAGCTAATGAGCAGTTGGTTCATAGACATGCAAGTTGCAATTCTTCTATTAAAACCCCTACATCCATATTGCAGCAGGAAGGGATGAGAATTAACCATCAGGAGCCTCTCAGCAACCCTCTGCCTTGTCTTACCTTTATGAATTGCTTCAACAAACAAGTACTAAGTGCCAGATCCTATGCTGTTTTCTAGAGTAAGATCTAGAGGCATAGTAAGGAATAAGAAATAGTTTCTCTTCCCATCTGGGGCCTGTGAATGGGCTTAAGAAGTTCTATGTATCTCTCTGAAGTGATCGGCAAAATGTCCTACATGTTATATATATGTATATATATGTGTATATGTGTATATATATATATATGTATATAATATAACATATAGGCCTCCTGAGTGGTCTATAATTTTCATGGGATTCTGAATTCAAAAATGTTTGAGATCAATTGGAATCTAAAGGTTTCTCTGACATCTCCCTTTCCTTCATCCCCAGTCACATCAGACCAATCACCAAGGCTTACCAGTTGCTCTGGATCTACCCCTTCTCTCCAAGCCTCCCAACATACTCCAAGCTTCCCTGGCCCAGTGACTGACTGAAAACAGCCTCCTCATAGTCTCTTTAAGCATCCTCATCCTCCACCAATCTGCTCCAAATGCAGGCCAGGCACGTGTTTTCAGATCTGTAATCATATCATTTCAGTTCTTTGCTCAAACCTCCTCATGGCTCCCACTGAGCTTTACTGGCAGGCAGTAAACTTTCACACCATCATTACCAATCACAGTGACATCATGTTTACTGTTTTCTTGGCTCTGTGAACTCCAGCCTTATCAAAGTTCTTCCATGTCTTCTCATTCCCCATCGGCCACTGGGCTTGTGTGCATTCTGTGTCCTCTCCCTGAAAGGCTTCTCCTTTCTTCTCTCTCCAGGCTGTATCACAGTTATCACTTCTCCTGACCATCTCCTCGGCCTCCCTGACCAGATCAAACATCCTGCTGTTAAATCTCCTAGGTCCATAAACTTCTTCATAGTCTTTGCCCAAGCTGGAATTAGCAGGCTTTGCATGGCCCATTGATTAATCTCTATCCCTCAGCAAACCCGACTATCGCTCATTGTGTCCCTAGTGCTTCTCAGAACACTGGGCACAGGGCAGGCAAGGGCTTGATTAATGCCCAGTGAATGAACAAATGAACAATCAAGTAACTAAATAAATAAGCGATGTGTTAAATGTTATAGTAAAATAGTGCAGTAAGTGGTGATAGGGCACAAAAGAGGGGGACATCTTTTCAGTAGGTTGGAGCAGGAACCATGTCTCATTCATCTTCAGCATCTAGTCCAGGCTTATCAGATGGTATAGACAAGCAATGTTCATGGGGCACATGCACTAACAACAGACTCTGCCTGGGAGAGTGAGTGGGGGCTTCTGGAGGAGTCAGCAATTAACATCAGTCACAAAGGGAAACCGAAAGTATCAGATCAAAGGGAGAAAGCAGTAGCAAAGGGCAGTTCCAACAGAAAAAACAAGTAAGAGGGCAGGAAGCCACAAAAAAAGAGCGAAAGTTCTGTGGAGCAGAAGGAGGGAAGTGAAATACAGGTATAGACGCACTTCTGATCCTCCCTGCGGGAGGGAAGGACTCGTTGCCCCAGCTATGGGGTAGGCTGAGGAAAGACACCTCCAGCTGTCCCCTGCCTGGGGGTGGTCTCTGCTTTGGAAAGCTGCCTGGTTCAAGGTCACCCACTCCAAGAGCAGCACATCCCCTAGGCCTGGCTGGAAGGGGGGTATAGAAGCTTCCATTTTGGACCAGCAGGGGACAGTTCAGGGAGATTTTTAGCTCCAGTGCCCCCAATGGGACTGCCAGAGACCAACAATACTCTGAGTAAGGTTAGCAGAGGCCACCAGTACTCCCAGGAGGGCCCTGCAGCACCACAGCTTCACTGCTTCATCCCTTCCCTCCAACAGGTATTGATCTCATCTGAGCACTCAATTCTGTATCTGAGTCCACGTAGGGAAGGCAACCAGGATGGGCTTCTACATGGGAACCAACAAGAATGTGAGTTTGGAGCTAGAAGGTGAAGACCTCCCGTGCTATGCCAAGTGGTGTCAACTCTTCTACAGGCAGTGGGGAGCCAAGGAGGCCTTTTAAGCAGAGGGTGCCGAGGTCAGAGACCTGTACTGGAAAGACCTCGCCAGCTGCACTGACTATGAGGCAGGGTAAGATATGAGTGAAGAATGATCCTGAAGGAGTATGTGTCCCCAAGCATGGTGGGAAGACACTGATAGCGTGGATGAAAACCAGCATAGTTAACAATACTGTATTATGTACTTTAACACTTGCTAAAACGGTAGATCTTATGTTAAGTCTTCTTATCACAGAAGAAAATAATCATAACAAATAAAGAGGACGGGAGGAAACACTCTGGAGTCTATTGCAGAGACTATGATAGTTTCATGAGTGTATACTTATCTCCAGACTATCCAACTGTATACATTAGGTATGTGCAGCTTTTTCTATGTCAATTATACCTCAATAAAGTGGCTCTAAATGTATATATACAGCAACCTGGAAGAAGAGCCTTGCCTCCTAAAGCCTTTTTCAAGGCACTCCCAGGCAGTGGAGAATGAAAATGCTAACTGGAATGTTCCAACAGCATTAAAATACGTAATAAAACAGCAAAGTTTTACATGAAAAGAGTTGTCATCAAAGTTTTTGTTTGTTTGTTTGTTATGATTGTAGGGCTTTTTGCTTCACAGAGCAGACTTTAAGTTGCTTAAGAACATTTTCATGTCAAACAGACAGGTCTTCAAAAAAATAAGTCCAAAAGCATGAGTCTGCAAAAAAGAAGGCCAGGCTAATGCTGAGTGAAGAAGAACTTAGCAGGAATGTTCTCCATTCAACAAATATTTATTAAGCACCTTCTACATGCCAAATACTGTGCTGGGAATACAATGATGAGTAAAACCCCACAGAGTCTATGTCAGGAAGCAAGCACATAACTGGAGATATTTAACATAAATAAATTATGTGTTGCTGGGTCCAAGGTGGCCCAGCACATTGGTTTAGTCCAAATAGCCTCCTACTGGGTATTTGTTGCTCTGTGTTATTTTTGAACTGGAATTGTTTTTCATGTTTTTTCCTCATTCACCATGATATAGTAGCAAGAGTAGACAGATATACCAGTCAGGATCAGAACCTTTACGGACAGTGTGACCTTGAGCAAATTACATGTCTTTCCAGTGGGGACAATTATACCGATGTCCCAGGGTGCACTTTAGCATGCACTGAGGTACTGTGTATGATAGTTATGCTGCTACGGTGACATATCATATAAACATTTATCTTATGTGAATTCAACTGTACCAAATGGAAGTGAGAAGGAGTGAAGGAAATGATAATGTAACGATGTGACCAGGACTGACTACATAATTTGTGGGGCCTAGCAGAAAATAAAATTGAGAGGCCCCTCATTCAAAAATTAAGATTTTCAAGATGGTAACAGCAAAGTATGGAACCTTCCAGCAGGAGACTCTGCATAACCACATAGGATGCATGCCCAGGAAGCCAGGCCTGCATATGGGCCCATTCCTATTCTGGGTTCTGATATACTTCTAACACAATGAGGAGGTTGTTCTATGATAAATAGAATTACAAAGTTCAATAATATGTTTATTTTCTTGTTCTTTTGTTTACCTTGTCCACCAACTGGAAATAATCTCATTGTCTGCATAAAACAATCAAGGCTATCCTTTTTAAATCTCCAAAAGTAGATTTTGCCCTATTTTTCTCCTTTACACGCTGACTTTCTAAAGCTTGCTGAAGATGAATGTCTATAGCTGTCATTTATCTCAGGACTTCTAAAACAGAGGCCAACCTTGATCCAGGATCTGGATTGCCTGGTTTATATACGGACCCTCATGTTCAACCCTCAGCAACTCTCTATGGTAAATATTACCATCTTCATCTTGGAGAGGAGGAGGAAGCTCCAACTCAGAACAAGGAAGAGATTTGCTCAAGTTACCCAGAAAATAAGTGGCAGGTCTGGCATTCAGATGTGGATCTTTGGACCTCAGGGTCCAGTCACTTTCAATGATAACATAAGGTTTGTTCTTTCCAGCTCTCCCTTTTCTACAAACCTTGCCCCAATCCTTTGAAATGAAAAATTATTTGGTAAACAGAAAATGTATTTCTCTGCATTCTGAGAACAGAGAATGGTTAACTAATTGAGTTTGGGCATCCAAGATGAGAGGCAGAGCCATGAGAGAGCCCAAGAGTCTGACCTGTACTTCCAGAGCTCTGATTGCCAGACGGTGAAAACTCAGAACTGATGTTACTAATCTCCAGCCACCCAAATGCAAGCCCACGTGGAAAGAATGTTATAAGGAGGGGAAATAATAAAGGTCATTTTAGGATGAATGATAGATGTAATTAATGTTATTGACAATGAAAAGTCTCAGTTGCTGAGAGACAAATGAGTCAGCAATGAGCTTGATGTTGAAACTACATGCTGTTTGTTGTTGCTCAATACTGAAAAAAAAGCAATTTCTTGATCAATGCATATAAAATTAGGGATTGAAAACATCAAGTAAAAAGTAGAAAAAAGGCAGCCTGTGTGTTATATCTCCAGTGTGTACATGTGCATATCTAAACATACACACACAAGCATGTGCACTCACACACACACACACACATTTAATCTTATGCATAATTCTGGGCTTGTCACTCCTGTTTAAGAGTTTTTCTTGTCTTCTCTTAGCATGGAGGCTTTTTATAACCCAACCCTAGGTTCCTTCCCTGTCTAATCTCCAAATCCTGCTCGTCATTTCAGAAGCACATCCACTTAGGCATGAATCCTGCCCTGGTCTCCAAATCAGATATGCAAGTCATAAATGGGCATGTTTGTTTGCATAATAGTGAGAAGTTCACTGTGTTTCCCAGTTTCAGTCCAGAATGTCCCTCTTCTACCTCACCACCTGGCATCATGTCATCTCCACATTGAGTTAATCACTCCCTTCTTCCAGCGTCATCAGCAATCAGTCAATACATCTATCAGTTACAGGTATATCTTTCCAGCTCCCTCACAAGCTCAGAAAATATTTGCTGCATGGCTGGATAACATGGAAGTATCTCCCCCACTAACCCATGGGATTCTTGAGAGTAGTATCACCCTTATATGGTTTATTTTCATGCCCCCTCTGTGCTTGACATACTGTCTTGAACAAAGTAGGTGCTCAATAAATATTAAAGAGATGTATTTGCATCCATCAAGATTGCTACTAGTGATCACAGATTTGTCATATTCTGCACAACATTTG